TCACTAAATACACAGCGCCTGCAAGCCCAGAAGATCCAGCTCCAGCCCACCACCCTACCTACTCCCTCCTGGAAAACTATGCCCAAAGGTATGCCCAACTGCTACTGGAGGCTGTGCCTTTCCAGTGGGGTGCAGATGCTTCACACCCCACCCCTCCTTCTCCTTCTCCAGCTGGGCTTGGCAGTCTCTGCCCTTCAGGGAGCAGTAGAGAGACACAGCTGAAAGAGAGCACTGGCCCAGCGAGCTGCTGGAGACAACGGATGCACTGTGAGCGCTCAGGGGCACCCTTGGTGCACGCACAGCTCTGTGTGTGCCCGTGTTTGGGGGCTGGTCTTGAAGTTGAACCGGAACATGCACCTGTAAGCGGTGATTTTTTAAATGTGTTGTTTTAAGAGTACCTGTGGGGGACTTCCCGGGTGGTCCAGCAGTTAAGACTTTGGGCTTCCACTGCAGGGGGCGTGGGTTCAACCTCTGGTCAGGGAACTAAGATCCTGCATGCCATGTAGCCAAAAAGAAAAAAAAAAAGTACCTATGTGTTAATTATGCCCACAATTGTGTCTTAAGCTGTTAACGACAAGGGGCTTCTCTCTGCCTCAGATGTTCTGAACCCCTTCCCTGCTTCCGTCCCCATGGGCACAGCAACTTCATTCAGCCTGGGTCTCACATATGGCCCAAGACAAACCTAGAAACCTGTTGCAGGGGGATGGGCTGGGCCAGGTGAAGGTTCATGGGACACAGCTGAATCCTCAGGTGAGTGGGAATCATGGTGAAGGAGGACAGCAAGCTGGAGGAAGGGCAGGGGGCGGACACAGGCTGTCAGCAGGAGGCAGGCAAGGAGGGGGTGGAGCGCAAGGGGCAGAGCCAATGATTCAGGAAAGGGATGCTCAAGACCAGCGGAAGAGCCTTCAGTCATCTGCCTGCAGGCACCCTTGGTCCCACTGCGGAGGCTTGTGGGAGGCAGGGGATGGACACATGTCTAAATCAACCCAAGGGACCTGTGCCAGCCAACCACCAGCTGACTCCATCACTCAAACTGAACGGCATCTTCTTGGCTCCAAATCTGCTGGTGGGCAGAGCTCCAGGGAGAGGCTTGATTCTAGCCAGGGAGAGGCTGAGTTCCCAGAAAGGGAACTGGGGCTGCTGTGTCACCTGAGGTCCCCAAATGCAGCCTCTCCACCCACACTGCCCCCAGGACTCCCCTCCCCTCTCCTCCCTTCCCTGCTCCTCTCTTCCCCCATCTCCCTGCCCAGCTCACTACACCCATCACTGGGCTGGTCAGAGTTTTCCCAGAGGATTGTTTGTAACCTGTGTGCATGTGTGAGTGTGCGTGTGTACCTACAGTGCATGTACAAACCCGTGTGTGCTTGTCCATACTGTGAACACTCAAGTGTGCCTGTGCATGCACAATACCCCCATCATACACACATACACGCCATGTGTGCCTAGACCTTGAATCCTCCTCTTTGGGGGTTATTTTGCCAGGATTCCATATATCACCTACAATGGATGTTAAAATGGCAGCCACTCACATCTAAAGTCCCTCAGGGGACTTCCCTGGTGGCGCAGTGGATAAGACTCCACGCTCGCAGTGCAGGGGACCTGGGTTCAATCCCTGGTCGGGGAACTGGATCTCACATGCGTGCTACAACTAAGAGTTCCCATGCCACAACTAAGTAGCCTGCGTGCTGCAACTAAGGAGCCCACGTGCCGCAACGAAGACCTGGTGCAACCAAATAAATAAATAATAAATAAATAAAGTCCCTCAGAAGTCACCCAGTTCAACCCTACCAGTGCTTCTCAGAGAGTCACTATTGGTATTTGTGAGGGTTTTGGTTTTGGTTTTGGTTTTGGTTGAACTGCGCAGCTTGCGGGATCTTAGTTCCCCCACCAGGGATCAAACCCCAGCGTTCAGCAGTGAAAGCTTGGAATCTAACCACTGGAGCACCAGGGAATTTCCACTATTGGCATTTCAATAGAGATAATTCTCCTTTGCTGGGACCAACTCCCAACCCACTGCATGAGTTTAGTATTCCTGGTCCCAAAACCCTAGAAGGCACAAACCGCTAGTAGCGCTCCAGAAATGCCCTCACAAGTTTCCAACCTCTCGCGGAGGTGGGACAGTAGGGACCCAGGTGAGGACACCACAGGCTTTGTCAGTGGCTGGATTTTCTCCACAGAATCTCTGGAAAGTGTCAGGCCCCTGTGCTTAAACTCCCAAGAACTGCTAGCTGCCTACCTCCTGAAGCCATTCATCCCATGCACAAACAGCGCTACCTGAGAGAAGGTGCCCCATCACTAGTCCCACTTCCTCCCCTCAAGGGCCACCCGAGTGCTGACCCCACTCACCTGGGCCTCACAATGCTCCGAGGAGGCCAGGCCACAAACAGGTGGGCTGGATAGGGGAGCTTCCTGAAGATTCCGGAAGAAGAGAAGCCTGTCTGACCAGCAAGAAAGCTGTAGAAACAAGGTAGAGCTCTGAGCTCGGCCAGGTGGCAGCTCTCGGGCCTGAGGCTTCGAGATGCAGCAGATGCCCACAGATACTGAAAGGGCTGCCTTCTCTCCGGCCATCCTGTCTACTGCTGCTCCAGGTGGGCGAGTGTGGTAGGTGGGGAGGAGGGGTTGTTGGGAACCGAAACTAAAGCAAAACAGCTCCCCACTCGGGCCCAGGGGGCCCAGCTGGGCTAGTGTGCTGTATAGCACGAGGCGGTGAGGGCGGGGGTGGGGTGCGGGTGCCCCAGAGGGCTGGTAGTGTGTGCTGCCCGTGTCTTTTTTTTTTTTTTTTTTTTTGTGGTACACGGGCCTCTCGCTGTTGTGGCCTCTCCCGTTGCGGAGCACAGGCTCCGGACGCGCAGGCTCAGCGGCCACGGCTCACGCGCCCAGCCGCTCCACGGCATGTGGGATCTTCCCGGACCGGGGCACGAACCCGTGTCTCCTGCATCGGCAGGCAGACTCTCAACCACTGCGCCACCAGGGAAGCCCTGCCCGTGTCTTTTGATGGACCTATGTACCCCATTCCCTTGGGTACGTGTTGGGGAGCCCAGTTGCCCAGGGACGACCTCACTGTGCCAATCGTCCCACACCCATCTGGAGCAGAACTTTTTTGCCCAATGTAATTCCTGGAACCTTCGTTTTTCATTTTTTGCTTTTTTTTTGCCGAGCCGCGAGGCATGCAGGATCTTAGTTCCCTGACCAGGGATCGAACCCCCTACAGTGGAAGCACGGAGCCTTAACCATTGGACCGCCAGGGAAGTCCCTAGCATTCCTGATAAAAATACTTGAGAAGACCTTCTTCTCTGGAAGTTAGATGTATTCACACAACCATCTTCCATCTGGCAAACAGGCTAATGTTGCTTACCCAGATTTTTTAAGTCCAGCTTGATGACAATTAACTAACAATTTTTTTCATATCAAATGTTTCTACCCAGAGGGAATCTTTCCACTAGATTTTTTCAAAGTATCTCCCTTTGCAGAAGATTTGAAATAAAATTTTAACTTGGGGGGGTCAAATCAGTGTATCTTCTGCCCTCTTGTCAGCTTAACACGACTACACTTTGGACACAGCTGCTTAGAGGAGAAAACTAAGAAAAAAAATAACGTTATCAAACCAGAAACTGAGGGGGAGATTATCCTTATCCACACCCGTATATCTTCCTTCCTTCCTTCCTTCCTCTCCCTCCTTCTTTCTTTTTTTCTTTCTTTCTTTCTCCCTTTGTAAGCAGATAGGTTGCGGGGCGGGGCAGGGGGGTGTGGTACCTGGAGAAAGAGAACCAGGAATGGCTTTCTTGACATAAGAGAATCCATTTCGGCCAAAGCCATTTTGTAATCTAAGCCTGGACACAACGCTTACCCTCAAACAGTTCTCAGTAATTAATGATCTTAAGGGAGGGAATTGCAGAAACAAGGGAGGCTGCCCTGAAACAGTAGTGCAGCCTTGGGGCAGGGTCCTGGTTCCTCAAGGGATATAGGTAATAACGCATCTTTGCGGTTCTGCAGGAGCTAACGCCCCACCCAGGTGGAGGACGGAATGATGATGTTGATGCTCCTGACTTCAATCAACGAAGGCTTGGACTCTGCTGCCCTTTGCCCCAATTCTATGCTGAATTCTCCTGTGCTCTAGCGCCCTCATAAATACACATGTACTCTTAGCTTAAAACTTCCCCAATTTTGCTGTTCTTGGAGACACTGCTTTGGGAGAGATCCCCCATGTTTTCCTTACTTGCTGCAAGTAATAAATCTTTCCTTCTCCCGATCTTTGGCTTGGTTGTGATACCCACCAAGAGGTGAACCCAGTTTTCAGGGACCACCTTCCCTTCTCTTCCCTCCCCTCCCCTCCCCTTCTCTACCCAGCTTTTCTCCTTTCTAGCTTTTCGGAAAGATTCCCTAAGGTTCCTGGCACTCCTTAAGCCCCAGGTAGCCTAAAGCACATCCCTCACCTCTAACCCCACTCCAACCGCGACCCTCCCCCCACCAGCAGCACGTGGCATATAAAAAGAAGAAAAACTCAAAACTCAAGTATCTAGCAGCCTCTGGCAACTGCAGGTGAGAACTTCAGGTGCGATCCCAAAGGATCCTGTGGGTCAAGGGGAAAATAAGGTTTAATTTACATAAGTCTCGTTTTGACCAGACTTTCCCCAACCTCTGTCCACCCACCCCCACCTCCACTCCCCCACCCCACCCGCTGTAGGGGTTTCCAGCCCCTCCCCTCCAGCCGTCCCTGACCCACCGTCCCGGACCCACCCTCGGGCCGGGCTCCCAGTCCCCTGCCATCGAAATCCAACCCGGTCACCTTAGCCTCTGGCTGAGCGCACACACGGGGACACAGCCCAGCAGGAAATGTCAGGAACTGATCACCCCCACACGTTCACGCCCACTGGGGCATCGCCAGGCTCTGAGTCCCGCCCAGATCTTCATCCCAAGCCTGGGGCTCCGGCTCTCTAACCCCGGAGTTCCTGGAAGTCGGCCGAGAGGATGCACCCCACCTCCCCTCTCTTCCCTTCCCCCCTCCCTTCTTCCCCACGCCACACCCGGACTGAGTTCCGGAAAAGTCCCCGGGCCTGCCGAGTGGTCCTGCAGGCGTTCCGTCTCCCATCTGCTTTCTTTATTATTCTAATCGACTGCTGGAGACACCCTTTGTCAACTGCCGAGAGCTATGCAAATGACCGCGGTTAGTATTGTTATTACTAAGAGGCGCTTGGTTTCAAAATCGCTTTGAATATTCTAGCACCAAATCTTGTCTGTTCCGGGCTTGGGGGCTTCCACCGCGTTGGCCTTTTTTCCTCTCTGTGAATTGCAGGGCGGAAGCCCACCCTTAGCCCTTCCTGCTCGGAGAGGAGGTGGTTTGACAAACTGAGTGGGGAGGGCAGATAGCTTGAACTTGGAGTTGGCCGGGCCGGGGCTCGGATTCTGCCTCTGCACCTGCGTTACTGTCTGACCTTAGGCAAGTCACTTCGTGTCTCCGAGCCTCAGTTTTCTCACCCAGAGGGGACTGAACTCCCTCCTCAGAGGGTCGTCGTGTGGCCATGTGCCTGGCGAATGGAAGTAAAACCCCTGGTGCCCGCACACTAAAGGACCTGGGCCAGTGACAGGTCAGGTGGCAGTGGCTGTCTCCATCCGCTGGGGGAGGGCTGGCAGAGTTGCCAGATTTAGCAAAAAAAAGTTTTTTAAAGAAAGTTTTTTTTTTTAAATATAAATAAATATTTATTTATGGCTGCGTTGGGTCTTCGTTGCTGCACGCTGGCTTTCTCTAGTTGCAGACGAGCAGGGGCTGCTCTTCATTGCCGTGCGCGGGCTTCTCATTGCGATGGCTTGTCTTGTCTTTGCGGAGCATGGGCTCTAGGTGCGCGGGCTCAATAGTTGTGTCGCACAGGCTTAGTTGCTCTGCCGCATGTGGCGTCTTTCCCAACCAGGACTCGAACCCGTGTTCTCTGCATTGGCAGGCAGATTCTTAACCACTGCGCCACCAGGGAAGTCCCTAGATTTAGCAAATTTTTAAAAAAGGATTCCCAGTTAAAGGAGAATTTCAAATGAGTGGTTTTCTTTTTATTTTTGAAGTATATAAGTATGTCCGTCCCATACAATATTTGGGATATACTTATACTAAAAAATTTATTTATTATCTGAAATTCAAATTTATCTGCAGACCCTAAAAGAGAGACTAAGGTACTGATAATGGGTTTCTTGTTGCCACCTCAGAGTTTTCATTTGGGACTGAGAACTCTGGGACACATGGGGTGAGAGCCTGTGGAAGAAACATGGGCTGAAGTAGGAGAAGGATCTAGAACACATGCCTGAAAAGGGCAGTGGCCACCAGGCCTGGTTGACCTTCTGCTCTAGCCAGCAGCCTGGATGGGGGCTGGGATTGGTGGACCCCTGTTTCCCCCTTCCCCCCCACCTCCAGTTTACCTGCTCCTCCTCCAGCTCTTGCTGGTCTGGCCACCAGCCCACTCCCCAATCCACATTCCCTGCACCAGAGGGACAGCAGGAGGCATCACAGAAGAAGCTAGACCCAGGTGGTAAATCAGGAGTAAAGCTAGCTGTGTGTTAATTGTCTTCCAGGAAACCAGACTGTGTCATTGCAGAAAGCCAGCAGCAGGAGTTGGTTTAACCTGTTGTGGCCAGACTGGCTGAATTAACCATCCCTCTGTTGAACACGTGACCACTCCAATCCTATGACCACTGGGAAGACATTCATCCAACAAACATTTTTTCATCTCCTTTGTCCATCCCACAGGCAAGCTTCAACTCACTCCTCCTCTGCCATCCTGACTCCACCCCCATCACCATTCTGCCTCTCCCTCTTCCTCCGCACCTAGTCCGTCCTGTCCGTCTGGGTCTGTCCCAGGGCCCCACTGCTTAGCTCGGGCTCATCAGTGCTCACCTTGAACTACTGCAGCCTCCTCCCCATCTACCCATATACCCCAGCTCCATTCCCAATAAAAGCAGGTCTCATCTTGCCACTTCTCTGCTGCAACTCCTCTGTTTTGCATCAGTGGCCAAGACCCAACCCTCAGGGACTGAAAAGCCGGACAAACCAGGGTGCCTGAATAAAACATGCCTCTTCCAGTCACCCAGGAGAAGCTGTTGCTCATTGCAGGTGAGGGGGCAGGGAAGACAGCTCTTGGGAGGGCTGGGGCCCAGGCTGTCCTGCCAGCTCTCGTCAGCTGAGGTGAGGAAGACAGGCACGGTGACTCAGGCTGGGGTAGGGGCCAGACCCCACTCCAGTTACAAACTGTGTCTGTGTTTCTATCTTAGATGCTCAACCTCATTCATAACATAAGAAATGTAGATTAAAACTACAAGATACCATTGTTCACCTATCAGATGAGCAAGACAAAACAAAAAAACCAACAAAAGGGAACTCATGGGCTTCCCTGGTGGCGCAGTGGTTGGGAGTCCGCCTGCCGATGCAGGGGACACGGGTTCGTGCCCCGGTCTGGGAAGATCCCACATGCCGCGGAGCGGCTGGGCCCGTGAGCCATGGCCGCTGAGACTGTGCGCCCGGAGCCTGTGCTCCGCAACGGGAGAGGCCACAGCAGTGAGAGGCCCGTGTACCGCAAAAAAAAAAAAAAAAAAAAAGGGGAACTCATGCTGGTCAAGGTGTCTGAAAACAGGTCCCACCACATTGTGGGTGGGAAAGTCAACTGGCACAACCTCTTTAAAAGGCCAACTCGTAATATCTATCAAAAACTTAAATATAAAAAGACAGATGTAGAGACAAACATATGGACACCGAGGGGGGAAAGCGGCAGGGGGTGGTGGTGGTGGTGTGATGAATTGGGAGATTGGGATTAACATGTATACACTGATGTGTATAAAATGGATGAGTAATAAGAACCTGCTCTATACAAAAATAAATAAAATTCAAAACAAAAACAAAAACTCTTCGTCCCAGCAATTCCACTTCAGAAATGTACCCTACAGGTATACAGGTGCCAAAAGACGTACATAATATGCACCAGGATATTCACTGGACCATAGCTTTCATAGTTAATGTTTGGAACCTAAATAGGAGGGTCGTTAATAAATTATGCTTCAGCCACACAATTAAATATTACGTACTGTTAAAAAGAATGAGGCAGCTAGGTACTAAAATTAAGTGGGGTTTTTAAAAAAATTTATTTCATTTATTTTATTTTTGGCTGCGTTGGGTCTTCATTGCTGCACACGGGCTTTCTCTAGTTGCGGCGAGCGGGGGCTACTCTTTGTCATGGTGCGCGGGCCTCTCATTGTGGTGGCTTCTCTTGTTGGGAGCATGAGCTCTAGGCACGCGGCCTTCAGTAGTTGCAGCATGTGGGCTCAGTAGTTGTGGTGCACGGGCTTAGTTATTCTGGGAGACCAAGAATAGAAATGGGAAGAAGACTTATTTTTTTGGGTGCCTTATGAGTTTTTGAAATATCAAATTAACCAACATATTATGAAATATATATTTCATATGTATATTATGTATGTGTGCATGTATAAAATAATTTTTAAAGTAGGGGACTTTTCTACCACAGTGCTCCATGAGAGAAGGTGATAAGCATATTAAATAGCTTCATGGCCCTGCCCCTTCCAGACCTCAGTCTTCCATCTATACAATGAGAGTTTGGGATGAGAAGACTGTTCCTACATTCTTTCTTTCTCTTTTTTTTAATAAGTTTTAATATTTGTTTATTTTTGGCTGTGTTAGATCTTTGTTGCTGCCCACAGCCTTTCTCTAATTGTGGCGAGCAGTGTACTCTTCGTTGCAGTGCACTCTTCGTTGCAGTGCATGGGCTTCTCATTGCAGTGGCTTCTCTTGTTGCAGAGCACAGGCTCTAGGCATGCGGGCTTCAGTAGTTGTGGCATGTGGGCTCAGTAGTTGTGGTGCACGGGCTTAGTTGCTCTGCGGCATGTGGGATCCTCCTGGACCAGGGATCAAACCCGTGTCCCCTGCATTGGCAGGCGAATTCTTAACCACGGTGCCACCAGGGAAGTCCCATCCTGCATTGTTTCTAAATCTTACAGCTAACCAACCAAACAAGTACTGTGCTGATGTAGTGGCCATAAGATGACATTTTATGGGCTGAGGAAGTATAAAATGGCATTAACGGGGCTTCCTGGTGGCGCAGTGGTTAAGAATCCACCTGCCAATGCAGGGGACACGGGTTCGAGCCCTGGTCCAGGAAGATCCCACATGCCACAGAGCAACTAAGCCCATGCGCCACAACTATGGAGCCTGTGCTCTAGAGCCCACGAGCCACAACTACTGAGCCCACGCGCCTAGAGCCCATGCTCCACCACAAGAGAAGCCACTGCAATGAGAAGCCCGTGCACTGCAACAGAGTAGCCCCTGCTCGCCGCAACTAGAGAAAGCCCCTGCACAGCAATGAAGACCCAACACAGCTAAAAAATATATATATGTGTGTATATATATATATATACACACATATATATATATTTTTAAATGGCATTAATGAGGGACTTCCCTGGTGGTCCAGTGGTTAAGACTCTGCACTTCCACTGCAAGGGGCCCGGGTTTGATCCCCGGTCGGGGAGCTAAGATCCCACATGCTGCAGGGTGTGGCCAATAAAATGAAAAATAAATAATAAAATGGCATTAATGAAACCAGGAGGCAGTGCCCATCCCTTGATGGACAGGGTCACTCCTCTGGCTCCGGAGCAGGTGATCATGGGAAAGCTGCATCTGCCTGCACTGGGCACCTGTCTCTCCTGCAGACATCTGTTCCCCAGGGCTGGGCAGCTTCTTCCCTCCCATCACCTGTCTGCTTCTCCTCCCATCACCTCTCTGCCCACCTACCTCTACCCCTGAGGCCCTTGGCTGGCCCAGGGGAGGAACTAAAGACAGCAGTGAAACAGGTTCTGTGGGGCAGAGGGAAGGTAGGTGCCTACCTCCTCAGTGACTGAGGTCCTGGCCTCCCTCTGCCTCCCTCCCTAGTGGATCAGGCTCTACCTAGTTTAACCTGCCTATGCACTCCTCCCCACCTTCCTAAGCCCTTCCAAAGGAGGCAGCTCTCATACTTGCTAGAGCTTGACCCACCCAGCTCCTTCCCCTAGCCACGCCTCCTTCTTTAACAGAAGATGTCTGTGCCTGAGGCTGGGAGACCTGAGATGCCCGCTATGTTGAGCCTCCCTGGGAGGTGAGGGGCGGCAATCTGAGCCTTCAGAGGCCCTAGTTAGCAGGAAGCCACCTCCCTCCAAAGCCTCCTGCTGGGCTCAGCACTGGCCTTTTCTCTTGATACGGGAGCCAGAGGGAAAATACATGGGAGTCCTTGGAGCTGAGGCTGGACATGTTTCCTGCCCCTCATTCTCTCTCCCTTCCTCCCTGGGTTTTCTTCCTAGATTAGCCCTGGCTCCCTGATGAATCTCTCTCCTTCTTGGGGCCTCATAAGTCAACCTGCAGGAAGAGAGGCTTGGGCCCAGAAAGTTGCCTGTTACCAGATGCCCGCAGGTGGTTCTGATGCAGGTGCTGCGTGGACAGGCTTAAAGAAGCGGCCCTTTTGTACATTTCGGAAAGGTTTTGTCTTATGTTCCTCCTGCGTGTACCTCCAGAAGCCAAGGGTCTGAAGTTAGCAAGCAGGAGGCTGGGGCTTCTGGGAACAAGGCAGATGATCCTCTTGGTGGGTCTCGACCCTGAAAGCTGCTGCCATCATTGGGCGTCTATCTGAAGCCTGAGAAGGAAGCCAATGAAAAAAGGAGAGCAGAGCCAAGCAGAGAGAGAGACAGAGATCTGCCGAGGCCTAGGGACATCACTGGAGCCCTGATTTAGTAGGGAAGCCAGCCCAACTCTTGGAGTCAGGGGACCCAATACATCCTTAGGCATTAGGGTTAAGTGTTGGGTGATTCTGGTTGTTTGCAATCAAAGAATCCTAATGGACACACCAATTCTATTCACATTTTTAATAGGAAGGTAATGGCGATTAATATAGTAGGGAGAGGGAATTCCCTGGCAGCCAAAAAAAAAACCTTAAATATAATAGGGAGAATTACATGTAAATTTCTATCAAAACTTAGAGAAGAGACCTTCAACAAAGTAATTATCCTCTCTGAGACTCTGTTTCCTCATCAGTAAAATGGACATGATAATACTTACTTCAAAGAATGTCAGGACTAAATCAGATGACCCAAACAATAAACACTGTGTGTGCGGGGAGTGGGATGGGGATGAAGGTGGTCAAAAGGTACAAACTTCCAGTTATGAGATGAATAAGTTCTGGGGATTAATGTATAGCATGTGACTATAATTAACAATACTGTATTGTATATTTGAAAGTGGCTAAGAGAGTAGTAAATCTTAAAATTTCTCATCACAAGAAAAAAATTTATAACTTGTGAGGTTATGGATGTTAACTAAACTTATTTTGGTAATCACTTTGCGGTATATACATATATAAAATCATTATGTTGTATACCTTAAACAAATACAATGTTATATGTCAATTATATCTCAGTAAAACTGGGGGAAAAGTTTTAAAAGAGTACATAATAAATAATTGCTGTGATAAATGAACCTTGGCCTTTTCTTCACACCATGTAACCAAACTAACTCAGAATGGATCACAGGCCTAAAAAATATAAGAGCTACAACTACAAAGTTGCTAATATAAATCTTATGGGAAAATAGTAATGGCCTTGGGTTTGGCAAAGATTTCTTATATATGACACAAAAAATACAAACTATAAAAAAATGGATAAATTGGACTTCATTAAAATAAATACTTTTGCTCTTCAAAAGACACTTACAAAAATGAAAAGCTGAGCCACAGGTTGGGAGAGAGTATTGGCAAAACATGTCTAAGAAAGGACTTGTAACTAGAATACATGAAGAACTTCTACAACTCAATAAGAAGACAACATAATTTTTTTAAATGGGCAAAAAATGTAAACAGATATTTCATCAAAGAAGATGCATAGATAGCAAATAAATATTTGAAAAAGATACGCAACATCATTAGGAAAACGCAAAGTAAAATCAC